CCTTCGGTTTTCTTATAAATGAGGGTGAAAATTGGGGGGTCGGTTAACCTTCTCTTGGGAGAGCTCCACATGCCTGGAAGACTGAAACATGGGCACTTTATGTTTGGAACATGCCCCGCATATGGCTGAATGAGAGCCTGCACAAGGATTATTCTGCCTATAGGCATCTTGAGTGGCTGCTCAGCAGGCAGCACACAGTTATGGTGCAGTTACTCGAGTACGGCCCTCAACGCGCGTCAGACATGGCTCACTCAGCAAACCGCTCATTCACCCCTCCCTCAGCAAACTGCTCAATTGCACTTCGATAAGCGAAAAAACGATTCAAGCATGGTACAGCTGCTCCCCAATTGCAGTCCAATCAGCTCAAACACTGTCCAAACATGGTCCAGAAGGTGCTAAAACATGCAGTTGCGTCACCTCAAAGCATGGTCAATGGTGAAAACATGGTCCAGAATCTGCCCAAGACAGCAAATATGGTCCAAACATGATCCAGCAACAGGTCAATCAATTACTGTTGGGTCAGTGCACTAAGCTGCAGTGCATTAAGCTGCACCAGATCCGCGAAATTCCTTGATAAACGAGGAAACATGAGATACGATATACCTTGGACGATGGTTGAAAATCAGCATGGTCCAAACCAGATCCAAACTGCTCAATTAAAGTGCAATCAGCTTAGGAATGGTCCAAACATGATCAGCGCTGCTGAATTACAGTCCACTCGCCTCAAACAAGGTCTGCCTCTAGACAGAGCGTGTCCAGAAATGAAAATATCCAGAACAGTGCCATGCCGGCTGGTTCGATACCTGTTAAGAAAAGTCGTTTCAGCGAGGTCAACATGGGGCAACCATATCTGCATCTGCAAAGACGTTCAGACCAGATGCAGCTACAATGACCCCCGTTGTGAGGGACTGGGGGAGGGTGATGCGCTACGATCCGTTGAAGCCGAGCACAATGGTGTCTGTCACCCACCGCGCGTTGGGGATTCTGTGGACTGTCGAGGGTTCAGCCTCCTGGGGAGTCGGTGAAAGCCTGACGGAAAAAAAACCGTAATTTGCCACTTGTGTTCATGCTTGCTGCTGTTTTCATACACCATGCAATCTGTCCAATGTCTAGTTATTGTTAAAGTATCTGTGTGGAAAAAAAAAAAAAAAACACCTGGGTCTTGCCGTCAACAGTGCACTGGGCTGGGAAGCTTTGAAATGCATCTTGGGAAGGCCGTGTCGCTTTGAACTGCATCTTTGAAATGTGCGTCACGAATGCAACACGGCCATGCCCTCCCACAACAACTCTTTTTAAGGGGAAATGCCTGTAGCTGCAGAGTGCTTCAAAAAGTTGTGCTGGCCCCCGGGCGGCCCGGGGAGGGCAGGATCCTGGGCAGTGCCAGTGCATAATATTTTAAAAAAATAGAAAATAAATAAAATCAAAAAAATCCGGGGGAAAAAAATGTTGCGTAAAATAATAAAATTGCAATACAAAGTTACAAACAACTTTTGGCTGAGGGTCCCCTCGAAATTCCTTGATAAAATGAGGAAACAATCCGAAACATGAGATACGATATACCTTTTAAACCCCTCCTCTAGTCACTGTTTATACCCCCCCCCCCCCTGGGTGACCCCTCTCGGTGTCCCATCACCGAAATGGAAGGTAGGGCCGGATTCTGACTGCTCAGGTCAAGTGCAGTCCTGGCCTGGAGTCTGTTTTTTTTTGCTTGGGATTCTTGCCTCTTTTTCAACCTGCCTGGTTTTGCCCAGCGACACCCCCCCCCCTCCCCCTGCCCAGCTCGCCCGGGCGTACCCTGCCGGAGCGATGGCCCAGCATAGTCAAAATGCGCATTGTGCGCACCACCAGATTATGTACCTGGTCACAGAAGGGAAATGCGAACATCAATGAATCCATAGCAGAACCTGAGCTGGTGATCTATTCATGCGTGCACAACCACAGTACCCACCTAGCCACAAAAGGCCCACAATTGATTGATGCCCTTCACATATCCACAACAGCATGCTGGCTGCAGTCAATGGTTCATAAGAAGAGAAAGAGGCCATCATGAAGACCGAAAAACTACACCCAAGAATACCTTCTTCGATCATCATTCGTTCAATACATGTACCTTCCTTCCTCATTTGCCCATCTTACCTTGCAGCAGACTGAGCCTCCCAACGACACTCTTCTCATGTATATCTTTTATGGAAACGAAACAAAACGAAACCAAGTATGCATCCAACCATTTATTCAACCGCGTGCATGCAATGCATGTTTCGTGTTTCATGTTTCTTCGTCATCATCCATTGTCCCTCCCAGCACGAGCCAGCAGATTTTCCCTCCGCACAACAATTTTTCCCATATACCCTTTTTGCCTTCCAAGTCATCCTAGCATTTCCCAGATTGTCCTCCATCTTCCTGCATGTTTTGACTATGAAAACAGCCAGGCTCGGTTGCTCATGCTCACAGGCAACGACGAGAAGCCAGCTTGTGTTCTCAGGCACGAAAGACGCTGGGAGGGCATGGCCGTGTTGCATTCGTTCCGTAAATTCTCCGTTGGCATGTACCGGGGAAAACCGCCAAGCTCGCTTGCTCGTGCCAAAATACTGCTCACGGCTTCGAGGGGTACATTCGTTTCCGCAGAGACCTAGGTGAGACTGCTAACAAAAACATTACGAGAAGACTACTCTTAGACGAGAGAAGCATGGACCCCCTCAACACCACCAAACTCCACGACGAGCATGATGTCCTGACCGCCTTCTGCCCTTTTGACCCCCCCTCCACGATAGCTACGTCCTGAGCTCAGACCGCTGCTGCCAACACTCCCTGCCATGGTTGAGATGCAAATACCAGCTTTTCTATTGTTGCCTCAACGACTGCTTCAAGCGGTATATTCGTGCAGCCCTGGGCACGCACGTCGAGCAAGTTCTCTGCGGGTGTGTCCTCTTGGGCAAGTGGTGGAGATTCCCTTTAGTGTATCAGTACTACCCTATTTACTAAAAAGTCCAGTGCTCTGACGCACTCCCCACTGCGACACGACACTATAGACCAAGCTGAGGTCCTCTTCCACATCCCCGGACACACCATCATTTTCTGCATCTAGGTTTCCGCAGACCTAGGGGTACATTCGTTTCCGCAGACCTGGTGGAATCTGATGCAGGTGAGAGGCCCAAAGCTCTAGCTGTTTGTTTGTCCAAGATTGAGTAGATGGCTATCTCACTACCCTTGCAGAGACTTTAGTTTATTTCTGTCGCCTTCATTCCCTTTCAATGCTCTTTAAGGGTGACTATCCTCCTCATCATCATCATCCATGCCCTCTGATAGAAACTCCACATCGACCTCTGCTCTTGCCCTCTGCGGAAAGGGCATATCCACTTTGGATTCATTATTATTGCCGTCATCCACATCAGCACCACTCTTCTCTGCCACGCTTGCCTCGTCACGCATCCCTTCCCCGTCAGGGGTTGGATTATCGTTTGCGAGTGCTGGTCGATCTTGTGCCTCTTTCTCTTTTGCAGACGGAAGAGACGTGAATTGACGATCCCCGATCGCAGCATCCCCTCCTCCAGATGGCACGATTAACTCCTCCTGTTCCATTTCCTGCGCGATCTGCATCTGTTGCTGTGGATCGGGAACGTCCATCCTGTCGTCATAACTCGTTCCCGCAGCGGCGCTATTCCCTTCCGCCGAATCTCGAGCCGCATCAGACTTGTTACCTGTTTCATGACCACCTCGTGAAGCATCCGTTCTCAATGGATTCAGTTCTTGCTCAGAATCCTTGCCTCTTCTTCTCTTTCCTTTTGTCAGGGCTGCTGAAAGTGGAATATCATCCTCACTGTCGTCACCACTGTCACTTTCGCCTGCACTCGTTACACCGCGCAAGCCAACTCTGGACATTCTCTTTGCTCTTCGGGATAACGACAACAGCTCATCGTCATCCTCCCGATCATCTTCATGAGGCGAAGGGCGAGTTAGTAGCACCCGACTTCGCTGTTTCTTTCCAACAGGAGTCAGCTCTGCATCTGCTTCTTCGGCCTGTCTTTTTTTGGGAGTGTTTCTTACGATCCGTCTTTCTACTCTTCTGGACCCCTCACTCGCTTCACTAGAATCACCTCTGATGTGTGGACTGCTTCTCTCACCGCGAATGCTTGGCTTTTCGGGGGTGCCGTCGTCATCAACACGCATCCATACAGGCTGCTCTGTGGAGCCGGTCTTCACCGAGTGTCTGCTCTGTTCTGCCTTGCTTTGCCTCCCCTTCTTCATCACTGACAGGGGTTCATCTTCGTCATCTGAGACACCTACAACAGACTTCAAGGCATCATAATCCAAGTCTTCACTTCTTTCGGCAGCTTTTCCCTGGTCTTTCCTGAGCCGTTTTCTGCCCTTGTGCAGATTCCCGGACACATCATCGTTCTCTGCATCTTTCCCTCTCTTCGTCCTCTTCCCTCTCTCCTTCTTGGTCTTTTGCACCTCCGTGTCCTGTTGGCTCCTCTTTTCTTTCCGTCGCGCTCTGTGAACTTGCTTATTTCCTTTGCTGCCCATTGCCTTTGCAATATGCTCAGTCCCTTCCTCGCTCGAGCTTCCTGCGGCTTTAGGGTTACGATCTCCTCCATCACCTTCACTGCCAGAGGATGAAGGGGGAGAGAGGTTCTTTACATTGGCGATCAGGTCACTGAGAAGGGTCTGAACTCTAACAAGCCACGCTGTACCATGACCTCCTGGGATTCGCCAGTTGACATGGCCGCTGACAGGCTTTCGAAAGCATAGAGCTGCCGATGAAATAGAACGAGTTCAAGTGCGCATTTGGAACGTAGTGAGTTAGGCGATGTTTTACCCGAATTTCATAAGAACACAACTACACTGCTGCAATCACATGCATTGAGTCCTGTGTCCCAAATATCAATGCAACCTTGGGGCATGTGCCCAGAGCGAGTGGAACATAGACTCTGGCAGGGTGGGAAAAGCTAGCACGTAAAAATATGAACAAGAAAATCCACTGAACAAAGCCGCTCCAGTCATGTTTCACTCTATAACGTAGCGATGGCCTGCAAGTCGGGGTCCCGACTGTTTTGCATCCGACAGGTTCATGGAGGATCATGTCTGGACCATAGACCATGTTACACAAAGGACGATGAGGAGAAGGATTGTGAGGACAAGCCTCAAGAGGCACATGGGACAGAGACAAAGCAGGAGGGGGCGGAGGAGGAGCAAGCGGAGGAAAATGAGGAGATTCTTACATAGAGGAGCACTAATTTGGCAGTAATGTTGCGCTAATGTTGTTGCTTAGTTTTTAGGGTTGGAGCCAGGCGCCACAAACCAGTTTTGAGGTGGGATTGTGTGCCATCGCGTCTTCGTGCGTGAAGACTGCGACGCAGTCACCGCGGATTTTCAAAACCGTGAATAATTGGCCCGAGGCGTGGCACAAGAGCGCTTGCCTTGATCGCAGGGACAGGGGGGTGATGATGGATGGGTGATGGTAGGATTGGCGGCCCGAATTTTCAAAAATTTGTCATGCAATTTATAAGAAAACCCAAAGCCCTTTTTAATCAAACCTGTCATCCATACATAGCATGAACACCATACTAACTAACAGCAAAAAAAAAAAAAAAACAAGAAAAAAAAAACAAGGGGGGAAAAAAAAAAAACAGCATAAAACTTCAAGGCAAAGGTGCACTTCCATGCAAAATTTGTCAAAATGTGCCCAACGGCCCCAACCCAAATTTCAGAAAGTTCAGAACTTTCAGAACAGAGGAATTTTGAAAGATCCAAAAGACACCAAATTGCACACCCAGTAACCTTGGCCTAAAACAAAAACAGGCAAAAACAAAAATAAAAAACACAAAAGGTTTGACCCCCAAACCCTAATTTCGGTTTTGGGCCTGTTAGTCAGGGGCAGAAACTGGGGGTTCCCGTTAACCAGTATGACTGCATGCCCCTCATCTTCATGCACTCCAGCGACTTGCCTGTAGGTCGCCCTTGAGTAAAGAGCTCATGGCTGGAGTGAAGACGGGTGGGCGTGGAAAGGATAGGCGGCTGTCCGCATATGGGAGCCGAAACGACCAGCGGCCGTGCACATACTGCCTTCGGGTGCCTCCAGCCATCTGTCGGAGGATCATCTCTGAACAGAGAGAGAACGTGCGTTTGACAGGGAGTAGGGAAGGTGCAAAGGCAACACGGAGCGATGGAGCTTCGGTGTGGGAAGGTTAGGCACTTGTACGTTTAACGTCTTTGGAAGCCTCCAGCAAAATGTCAGAAGGCCGACTTTGAGTGAGGAGCGACCAGGAGGTCGATACGAAACAGTGTACAAAGGCAACATCGAAGTACAGGATGTGGTGGGAAGCTCTGGGTGCTTGCTGCAGTGGCAGTCACGATCGGCTACATGGAGATAACAGGGGAATAGAGGAACATAAAGGTTACGAGGTGCATGTGTTAATTAGGGAACAGGGGGCGGGAAAGAAGACTGGAAGCTTCGGACTACAGGCCGTTTAGCAGCCCATGGCGGAGATCGCCGAGCGGTGGCTTTGATGAAAGGTGAAAACCGGAGATAGGTCACCACGAGAAGTGGGTGGTCGAGAGGAACGCTCGGAAGGCAACCCTTTGGGTGGCATTCGACAACAATGACGGTGGTTGGGGCTGGCAGTGGTTTTTTATGGAGAAAAATAGTGCATCAGGTGACCAAATCAGAATAGATATGGAGGAGCGAAAATGGTCCTGAAGTGGTGAAAGGTCCGAAGACCATGAAAACCACCCTTCACCACTTGAGGATGCAGCCTGCCTAAACAGGTGGTTTTCAGGGTCTTCGGAGCTTTCACCACTTCATGACCATTCAGGATTTTCAGACCTGAATGGTCCTGAAGTGGTGAAAGGTCCGAAGACCCTGAAAACCACCTGTTTAGGCAGGCTGCATCATGAAGTGGTGAACGGTGGCCTGAAGTGGTGATGAAAAATACGACTGTTGTTAACCTTCACTCCCTCAGGGAGCGGGACGAGGTTCACCTTCGGTAGTGACTTGGCAGGGCTGAAGGCAATGTATACAAGAAATCATGCAATCGTCCTCCAGTTTGAAGGCCAGGCAGCCAAATTATATAGGAACGCTAAGAGGGAGTGGATTTCAAGAAGGGAGCTCGCATGTCCGGAATCGGATCGAAGGGAATGGAGAGGTATGATCACGTTGAGGGAGGAAAATCTGCCGATGTACATGGCCCCGACAGTACTTGATGAGCTGCAGAAGGAGATCATCGGAATAGACGAAAGGGAATGCAAAATGACAATCTCACCATGGGTCACTCAAACGGAATTTATCAAACAACAACAAGAGTGCGAGAATTGAACCCCTCGGCATGCTGGAAAAAGGCCTTGCGCACCCTCACTCAAACAGAATTTATAAGAAAATGTAGAAGTGTTTGGTGAACCAAAAATGATTTTGCCTAAACAAATAAAAAGGATATGCAAAAATAAACTAGTTTGGACTGAATTAACACAAGAGTGCGAGAATTGAGCCCCTCAGCATGCTGGAAAAAGGCCTTGCCACCCTAAGTGAAGGGGGCCTGCAAATTTTCCGCTTTGCCTGTATTGAGGCCGATGAGAGCAGAATATGGGGCCCCGTGGGTTGGTTGCTGCTTGCACCATCTCCACCCAGCCGGTAGGGAACAAAGCCTGGTCGGTTGAAGATGCTGAGGTCCAGGGCACTTACAGTTTAGCCCCAAGCAGATTCAGGAAGGGGCCCTGGACACAGGTACTGGGACAGGGGGGCAGACAGTCCAGCCAGGCCACAATCCAGGCAACCAATGCAAAAGGAAGTGAGGCAGTCTCACTTCATACATTCTGCGTGGAGGCTCGTGCGGCAGCACTGCGGGAGCACACACTGCAGGGAACTGGCTAGAGGCCGCTCAGTAGCTGAGTGCGGATAGCTGGAGGTCCTGGGCGAAGGCGGACTGTCGAGGGGAAGCCTGCGATGTGGAGCGGTGTGACGGGGCACTTACCTAGTGACGAGAAGCGGGGTGTTAACTCAGAGTCTTTGTGTGGCATCGGGCTGGCGATCTTCAATGCGACCTGTTGTAGCAAAGTAGGAGTCCAGGTCTAGGGAGTAGGACGTCAGTAGTCTGCACGCAGAGCGCGAGTAGGATTGCACCATTCTTGAACGTTGATGATTGGAGGCGAGATGAGGGCTTCCATTATCATGGGACTCCAATACTGGCTGAATCTTATTTGGTGTGATATCACTGCGCATTCTGCTTTCGATATCTGCTCGAAATTATCTGGATTTATTTGGAATGTAGCAATCATTCACATTGCTCTTTTCATTGCAAGAGCAAAGGAGGATGAGACCTTGGGTAAGGATATACCAATCACCAATGACGGTAAAGTCTCACAGATGTAGATGAGATGGCCAGTGAGATGTTTGGTGAAATCCTGGCCGGGGAGCCCTCCGTGGGAATGGGTGAGGAGAAAGAAATCAAATACGACATTTGAGGTCCTGGCAAGCTCACAACGCCAGAGGTATAAATGCATGCTGGAGATTCCCAAATTGCAAGAAATCTGCATGAGCACTGTGGAACTGTCCCGACACAAGATATTGACAGGACTGAAGGGGGTGAACCACAGAATCAAGAAAAGACAAAGGCAAGCATATATAAATACAGAGAGAGAGAGAGAGAGAGAGAGAGAGAGAGAGAGAGAGAGAGAGAGAGAGAGAGAGAGAGAGAGAGAGAGAGAGAGAGAGAGAGAGA